TTGTTTCTTAATTTGTGTGAAAAAGTCAAAATATCAATCTTCATATAACGGAAGGAATAAAACTTAAAACATATTTGCAACTGGAACGAATGTCATATTGCTACTACGAATGTGGTCCAAAAACCAGATACCATTCCAAAGATTGTTTCTTCTCCTTAGTTAGGTACATGTGTCACTAGCACAATAGCTCCTCTACTATGGTCCAAAGAAACCATCACTCCTAAACAAATGTCCCCTACTACTACTACTCAAACAGAGTACAATATTCAAAGGTACTCTTCCACTAAAGCTTTAGATTCAAACCGGTTTGCCTCCTTAGTTTTTTTAGAAGTTGATGATGAAAACTCAAGTTTCGGAAGAAGATCCTGACTCGATGGATCTTTTGACTCTGTTGGGCAAAAAAATCTTAAGAGAACGACCGGTTAAACCATCAACAAAGGCAAAAGAGATGCAAACGCATTTCGAATCGGTCCACATGGTAATCGAAGTCGTGGTAAGGGTGGATGTGGCTAAAGTTGAAGCGGAAGATTCAATTTACTATCTATTTTCATTTTTGAAAATCTATCTTTACACTTGATGTAATATGCTCTTAAAAACTATGATGGTAAACGTCTGATTAATAAAATATATATTAAAAAATAAATATATTTGCATGACCTTTACAACACTCATTTCGGAATCACTACAAGAAAACACGGTTTTAGCGTTGACAAAATTCGATGCTAAATTGACGCTAAAGGAGTTTGGCGTCGTTTTTTGCGTCGAATTACATTTCGACGCTAAACCATCGACGCTAAAATAAATTCGACGCTAAATCGACGCTATATTTCGACGCTAAATTGACGCTAGATAGCATCGAATTAGCATCGATTAAATCTAGTGATGACGGTAAATCGACGCTAAATTAGCATCGATTTAGCATCGGTTCCGTCTTATGTCGATGCTAAATCGACACTAATTTTGCATCATTTTAGCGTCGATTTTGGACGTATTCGATTCTAATTCGATGCTATATAGCGTTGATTTAGTATCGATTTCTATGAATTTTAAAAAAAAATATTTCTAAATGAAAATATTGTTAATAAATCCGAATTTTTTTTAAAAATTAGAAAATTTTATATATAAATTCGAAAATGAAAACATAAATTGTTTAAAAACGCTGAAAATACAAACAAAAATTTTAATTTTAATGTTTGTCCCTTAGATTAATGTCGTCTCTATATTCATTAATCATAGCTTCGGTGGAGGTGGATGTGTAGTAC